TAGTTGAACCCACATCTCCTCCCCCACTGTTGGCTCAGCCAACATCTGTGCGTCGGCTGGCTTGCCGAACAACTTCCTTGTGATGCCGCCTGGGTGATTCTGGTTTTTCCCGTTCCAGCGAATGGTTCGACGGCAGTGTTCCAGGACGTGGTGTGTTTTCTCCTGGCAAGCGTTCTCCCTATAAAAAGCCACAAATGTCTGTTTAACAACACTGCGACATGGCGGATGTGACTCGCCACTAAATATAGTCACTACCCCTTTCCCTTCCCTGAGATGAATTGTACTTCAAGGGTGCATTAGGCCCCGTTCACGAAACGATAGGTGCAAGAACCATCTATTTAATTACCGGTTCCTAACGCGTTGCGACGCCGTCACATTGCCCTGCTGCTTTGTAGGTTAGATGTGTGATCCAAGGTTTGGGGTAGCGCCCCCTAAGACAACTCACTACGGCGGCCTGGACAACCGGGTAGTATCACGCCCACTGACGAGTCATGGACCACACTGCTTACTACTGCTCCTGCTATGTCTATCTTCCATGCTAACTCAACTGCTCAACCTCCATTCACAGATCACCCCACCTCCCGTCCTTCACCTATATGTACTCTTGTGTCTTCTACCGTCATCGTCACGAACGACCCAGGTCTCGCAACTGATGGAAGTAGCAGCCAAACTCCCGGTTTTCAATGTCCTGCAATCGCAGCCGCCTCTCACTCCACCAAAGCTCCAGCTCTTCTCAGACCTGGTTCTCCATTCATCCTCGCAGCGTTTAGTGTTCGAACTTTGCTGCAGACCGGGCAACAAGCATGTCTGTCCCATACCCTTGAAACTCTCTCAGTAGACATCTGTTGCCTTTCAGAGACCAGATTATAAGACTCTAGCGCCGTCGTCAGAATGGCCTCTCTGGTAAACACTGATGCCAAATGCCACTCGCGACTTTCCGAAGACCCAGAAGCGGCCGTCTCTGGCCAAGCTGGTGTTGGGGTTGCTCTGAGTGCCAGGGCTGAATCAGCTCTGCTTAACTGGATCCAAGTCAACAGTCGGCTATGTGCAGTCAGACTACGAGGTTCATGTGATATAAGCAGGCACTGAGACGTTAAGCATTTCTTGTTTGTCGTCTCCGCCTACGCCTCTATAGACTGCAGCCCAAATGCAGTCAAGGATAGCTTTTAGCAACAGCTACATGAACCTCTACGTTCCTCCAAAAGGACTGATATAGTCATTCTTGCCGGGGACTTTAACTCACGGGTGGGCCGCCTGCCATCAAACAAGCACCACCTTGGAGGTAGTCTTGGTCTCGGTGGCAGTCGATTAGACAATGGAGACAGACTGCTTGCTCTTTGCTCTGATCATCGCTTGTTTCTTTCGAGTACTAGTTTTCGGCACTCGAGGAGATACACTGCTACCTGGCGCCCGTCCTCACAAACGCAAGAGTGCTCCCAGCTTGATCACATAGCAATCAGCTACAGATGGCGCGAAGTGTAACGAACTGCCGATCGTACTGGTCAACTTATTTAGACTCCGATCACGTATTGGTTCGTGTTAAGATTTGCATGCGTTTCGGAGGATCACCTAAGCGCGCGCACTACCGACGGGACGTCGCAAATCTACAAAACTCTGGGATTTTAACCAGGTACTAAGCCTCACTGTCAACCTTGCTTGTCTCAACTATTGACGGTGATCTCGATTCGCAGTGGATGCAGATCAAAGATGCCTTACTTCCCGCCACTATCGACACTTGTGGAATTGTCCGTCACCCACCGAAGCATTGGATTTCCGTCGTCTCTTTGTCGCTGATGGACAAACGCCGCTTGGTCCCGTCGGATTTCAAACACAGTGGAGAACGACACTCCCTGGGTCGATAGTTGCGCAGGAGTCTATAAATGGAGCACGAATCTTGGTGATGTGAACGTGCTAGGGAGATGGAACTTTCTAGTCTCTCTGGTAATACCAGCAAACTTTTCCATCTCATTCGAGTCACCAAAAGTGTTCCATCTGGTATAAGTAAAACAATATGCGAAGAGGATGGCACATTAACCACTAATCCTCAATGAGAGTTGGAGCGATGGGCCGAACATTTTGGCTCGCAGTTTTGCTGGCCCGCAGCTCGCGCTCGCGCTGGGGCCGAGTGGTCTACCCCCACAGATCCTCCCTCTTACCAGGAACTCAAGTAGAAGTTCGGGCACATGAAGCGTTATACAGTCTCCGGCCCTGATTTTCTTCCTCCAACTCTGTTTAAACTTGGTGGCGCATCGCTGGTTCGAGAACTCACTGCTTTGTTCTCGAAAGTTTGGTCGAAAGGGGAAGTTTCATCATACTGGAGTGAATCGATAGTTGTCCCCATCTTCGAAAAGCGCCTACGCACAATCTGCTCCAACTACAGAAACATAAGCTTAGTCCTCGTCGTTTGCAAGCTGCTGGTGTTCATCATATTTCGCAGGCTATCTCCAACGCGCGAATTGTTGCAGCGAGAAGAAGAAGCTGTGTTTCGCCCTGGTCGCGGCTGCATCGATCAAATCTTCACACTCCGCCAGATCCTCGAGCTCCGCCATGTGTATCAGAGGCCAACGATTGCTGTGTTCTTGGATATCCGTGCAGCTTTCATCCCGCCTGCAAGGCAAAGGAGACATTTGCAGTTACCTGCAAAAGGAAGGTATTCCCCGATCCGCAACCTGGGAACGCGCCCGATAGCATACAGCTCCGCCGCCGGGGTGGGGGGCAATGATAACGTGAGTCGGAAGGGTTTTCCAGGCACGGAACACACGGGGAGAAAACGTTTGGTCGACAACCAAGCCAATTGTAGTGCGTAGCCTGTTTGAGCTGATGGCTTCTCAGGTTTGTATTTTGGCTCAGCTACAACTGGTTGCGACATAGGTGAGTTGGGTTCGTCAGTATTATGTAAACCATGATTAGGTCTGCTTGCTGACGTCGATATTCACCACTGTACATTCTCAGGGACTGCAGTTTACGTTGGTACGAGAGATGAAACAATCCTCTAACGATTTTGGTACGGCACGTCTGGATCGCATATTCCACGTGAGGCCTCACGTAGGCGTTCAGCATATGCGAAAAGATTGATGGCTCGAAATTCCCGAAAGCCCTCCGTAACAGTCCAAGGTGTTGACTGGCCCTTTTTGATGCTTTTTCATCCTGTCCCGAGCAACCAAGATCGTACTGCACGATCACCTCAAGGTCCTTTTCTTGCGAAGCACGTAGCCGCTGTTCCCCAAGTCGATATTCATAGTTAAGCTGATGGCGTATGCTTATGACTTTGCACTTGGTCACGTTGAATTGGAGCCTGTTGTCGGACGACCACGCATAAGCCCTGTCGAGATCACTCTGTAATGCGATGTCCGATCATCCGATGCCAAATTTTGACGTCATCTGCAAATAGTAAGAAATTCCACTGCAGTACACTGGCAAGATCGTTAATGAATGTTAGAAATAAACGTGGCCTCAGTACCGATTTTTGGAGCACGCCACACTGGACGTCATTTGGGTCGGAAATGGAGCGGAGGATTCTCACATTCACTTGACGTTGAGCGAGGAAGTTGCCGATCCAATCTAGTATAGGGTAACTGATTCCATAGCTTCGAAGCTTGTAAAGGAGAATGCTGTGGTCCAAACCATCGAACGCTTTCGAGAAGTCCAGGCAGACAACGTCGACTCCCACTCTGGCATCGGCTGACTGTCCAGCTTGCTCGGGCTAGCATCAAGTTTGTAGTGCATAATCGATTTCGGCGGAATCCGTGTTGCTGTGACACTAGGATCTTCTTACGCTCCAGATATCCCAAGAGCGCCTCTGCAATTATACGTTCCATTACTTTGGATAAAGCTGGAAGGAGAGTGATTGGACGGTAGTTCCAGGGCTCCGAACGATTACCACTTTTATAAATAGGAGTGACTAATCCATGTTTCCACCTTGTGGGAACCTGCATTTCATCGAGACAACGTTGAAAGAACCGAGATAATGATTTGACAAGGTTCGTGGCCGCTGTCTTTAAGGCCTTCGGTTTGATGCCGTCCACGCCAGGTAAGCTGTGCACGCGCAATAAAAATTAGCATTTTCATTACATTGGCTGCCATAAACCATACGTGGTTTAACCCTGTTGGCGATGGAAGCTGTGTCAAAAGCGGATGGAATGATGGTTCACTATGGAAAGTATGGATGAAGTGTAGGCGAAGCACGCCGGCTTCATCTTGTGCGGTTTGCGCAAGACCATCTGTTGCACGTAAAACTAGGGTCTCGCGCTGCACTCTGTAGAGGTTGTTGACGTGTTTATACACCAACTTAGAATTTGTAATGAATTTCGCCGCTAAGTTCTGTTGGTGCTGGAGTTTATCTTCGCGGATCAACTTAACGCAGTGGTTTCGTTGAGTTGTGTAAGCACCCCAGGTCAGGTTACTTGGACAGACTTTGTAACCGCAACAGCCGCTTAAAAATTCGTGACGTGACTCTTCGAACGTCGTCCGCATACTCCATTTTGTCAGTCGGTTACCTGACAGAATGTTCACTCCGGTAGAGTTTGAAAGAACCGAGTCGTTAGAGCATCACTCTCCGCTGGTTGAACGCGTACTAATAAACCATAGACTTTCAGATGAGAAATGTTAAACGATCGTCTCTTGACCGATCTTCATTTGGAGTGAAGTGGCTCCTAAACAGCCTGCTGATTTAAAGAATTTGCAATTAAATACAGTGTGTGAGTTGCTAGTGCCGATCTTTACGTTGTGGGAAAAGTCCCATTACATTCTGACACATTCGGCGACGAATGTAGAGATTCGGCCAACTTTTAGCCTTGTCCACAGATTGATTGAAGAGATCCGATCGAATAAATAATACCCGAAATCATATCAGCTGCATTCTAGTCAACTATGAAATAATTTAAAGCTGTAAATCGGGACATTGAGTTAAAAACTTCAGAAATGGTGATGCGATATTTTATATGAACATCAGGGTGTGTAACTTTTTAAGTTTCCTGCTATACTACTTCGTTCTGTTTCAGAAAGATATGCCGGGAATACGTAAACGAATGATGTATGAAATACTCACTCAACAGCTGCTCACTACAAGTTTCAAAATGCATCCCTGATGTTGATCAACTTTCTCCCCTGGATGACCTTGTACTTACTCGTTCTCGTTTTCTCACCTTCTCCCAATCTTCGTTTCTGTAGATATTTATTTTCAGTCGAGCTTTTTTGTTCAAATCGTTCCTGCGGAAAGCCTATTGTTGTCATCTGTATCAGACCCTAGAAATTTCCCGCTTACTCGTAAAGAATCCGCACTTCCTACCAACTTACGTTGATGAACATTGCCTTGCTCATACCCCCCTAATCACTTTTGAGATTCATACTTTCTCATCTCTAATCTTCTATTTTGCTTTTACAACAACCAACAGGCTTCCTTCTCACTCCCATAAGATCGTATTCGAATACGGTCTTCTGAGTGGTAATGCGATCAGTTTTTCCTAGCCCATGCCCTCGTATATCTTTCCTACTGGTTATTAGTCAAGTCAAGATCAGCTTTGTGTACCCAAATGGGTGCACTTTCATTATTTTACTTTACCAACTGGAGACAACCCAGTTCAACCTAATCAGACATGGAAAATTTTACAAACAGATAAATGTTTCCGGTTACACATCGCTGAACAGGGTTCTTCGCATTGACATCCAATTGACAAGATAGAGTTTCGCAACATTTCTCAATAGTGGGTTCCAATGGACAAATTTTCTTTACCAACTTCCGAATCGTGCAGAATATCTTGACCTTTGCATACAATATATAGACACAGCAAGGCAGTCACAATGCGCTTAAAAATAATTTACCAAATATGCTGTCTGAATATATTATTACAAAAATGGTATATGTTCCGTAGGGGACGCAAAAATGATGTTCGTTGAAAAGAGCTCATAGAACCGGTCAACAGATGAGCGGCCGGTTTAACGGCCCACGCTATTGGCTCGGATGGATGAATATATATTTGCACCTAACATGTCGTGAAAACTGCAATACTATTTAATTCTTCGTGACACGAAATACTATCTGATATTGGCACATATCTGCCAGTTGCAACAAGCTCACTATCGTTGTTGGAGCATAACTGCAGCGTACGATTGTGTTAGTCTTCCCATCATTGCACTCCACGGTACGTTTCGACCTTGTTTGGACTCATGAGGTAGAGAGAGAGCAAGACTTGGTCGTGGAACTCGGCACCAAGTAGTTGGCGGCTATCGCCATGACCACTAGGCCATTGAGATCTGCGGTCAAGTTGATGACCGAGTTTTGGAGCACCCACCTTGTGTGCGACACGCAGTCTCACTTTCGGCGTCAGTCGCTTTATAAGTTATTCTCTGCCGTTCCGATCATTGGGACGGTGTCCGAAGGAGGGTTTCGGTGTTGCTATCTCCTCTTGCTGCGCTCCACAATTGAATAGAACTAAACGCTGGATGCTCCAAAACCAGGCAAATAATGCGTACGATATTTTCTCCTTCATACCAAAGTACTTCAAACTTAAAGGTCGAATCAGTTTAACGACCGACATTTGATCATCGATCCGCCCTTTTAAAGGAATTTGTTCAGTCTCTGGATACTGGTCGAAGGCAACTCATTGCTACATTTACGCCCTGATACCGTTTTCGGTCTAGAGACCAGTTTCACATGGATCCATGGTTGACGCTGAGCTCAAATGCCTAGAAAATGTCGGAGTCCTGAAACTGACAAACCATTCTCCTGATATATGCCATTCACCATTTTGAAAAGTAATGAAATTGTTCGAATTTCTGCCGACTATTACACTTGCTTGAGTGGGGTCATCGATAATCATCACTATCGTGTCATTTTTGCGAGAATGAACATTGGCGTGCTTTTCGCCGAAATCGACCTGTCGGATGCCTATTTACAATTTGAGGTGGCAGAGGAATCCAGAACTCTAGTCAACCCCAACACTGACGTGGTTTTTGTCAATTTCATCCCTTGCCACTTCGCATGAAGGCGGCCCCGACCGCATTTCGACATATTATGGGCATCATCCTTGGCTTCTCGAAAGGATCAGTCTACGACATCATTTTCTTGGGATAGGGGCGCAGAAGACAACACTTATTCGTAAGTGCGGAAACCCACGGGGAGGAGAGACATAGAAAACCGACATTAGCCATGTGAACGGGATCAGACCAATAAACTAAAGCCCCGTGGAACCACCTTTTTCCCAGAATTCTTGTCCGTTTTTACTCTGTTAGTCGGGGACCAAGGGTCACGCCTTCGGGTAATCGGAGAGCGCACTAACTTGCCAACTGTACAATATAGATGTTGGTCTCTCTCAAAGTGTCCCTCACCGCGTCACATCGGTGTGAACGACCGGAGTGATAGCTGTATGCCTGCATCTGGAAACATGTGTACTTGCCAGTCCCGTCCATCGTGAAAACGCTGGATGGGCGCGGATCATTGAGTTAAGTCACCCTACGGCACTTCATAAGGCAAGTTCACCAATCGATACATACCGTTTTTCGGGTTGGTTGGAACGAAGACGTGCGTGTAAAATCAAGGCAGCAGCGCATCCTTACCGGGCTACTGTGGCAGAATTGTGATGTCGCATGGACAGGTCTATGTGGCCTGAGCAAGGAGTGTTCAATAAGTACTTAGTGTTATCCCAGCTAATGACAAAGGGGTTGTTGGCAACGCTCTTGTAGACTGAAAGTTAGCTTCCAACAAAACCACCTTAGCATAAATGGCATTCCTTTCAATTACGCCTTGCACATATGAAATGTAATGTTTTGAGAAAGGAGTCTTGAAAAACTATGCCGCCTAAAGACTACTCGCTGCCACATTGCTATTATCCTGTCACAGTCTGGATCGCAATTGTAGGAAACAAGTGGGGTTACGCTACCCAATTTGTTTCAGAGTGACCGTGACAGGACCGAAAATTGCCTCCATTGCCGCACATGAGCGTTCATTCCAACATATTCACTGATGAGGCAATATTACATTATCATGGGACTGAGAAGCTGCATTTCTAGGCAATATCTAATCCTCGCAGATACTGAGATTCACGTATTCTAGGAAGCGCGAAGCTCATTGACTTGCGAAACTGACTGACAAATCGTGGGACCACAGCACGGGCTTGTGGGTTCTGACGCATAATTTCCACCCCAAGCCAGTTATCCTATATTGTTGCAAACTCCGAATATCAAATTCAAAAGGATCGATAAGCTACGCTTTCACAGTCTGTATTTTTATTGAAAAACCGTGGGACCATCTTCCTTTCCACTTTATATGATTGGTATGTTTTTGTTTAGAAGCACTCATCACACACCAGATGAACACGATACATGATGCAGCGAGGAGGTTTGGCCCCGAAAGACACGACATCCACTAACAGTAGTATGTAAGACATAGCATTTAGAAACTGCTAGCGTGGATATATCTTGATGTACCAATGAGTAGGGATTACGATAGTATTAATTGCGGTTCTTCCAAGCTTGCTTCCAAATCAGATATTCTTCCATATCGCCAGCAAATCACAAGACTTTCGTACCAGCCTTTTGAGCATCATCATTACCGCGCATCCATCGTAACAATCACGATTCGAACACATGACAACCAGCGGTTGGAACCGCCAGTCTGCAGTTTATGCCAATGTGCCATGTGAGACTGAATCCAACCATAAGGTTTTACCAGCCAACTGGGAAATGTAGCGCTTAATTCTTTACAGCCTTTCAACTTACATACGTTGCAGCGGACATGTTTCGCCGCGATAGACAAGACGTCCACTAACAGTAGCTATGTACGACATAGCATTTAGAATCTGTTAGGGCGGATATGTTTTGATATACACATGAATAGGGGATTGTGATATAATTAATTAAGGTTCTTCGCTGCAAGGTTCCAAATCAGGAAGTCGTCCACACGCACAGAAGTGCACTAGACTGCGGTTTGAGCCCGTTGGGCAACATCAGCAGTGGATACCTCGGATCCATCAGAATTTGAACCCATGATCACCAGCGGCTTGAACCCTCAGTCAGCAGCTTATGCCACTAGGCCACGTGGGAAAGCTTAAGACCGTCATGTTTTACAAGCCAATTGAAATATAGCCCACGTATCCTCCACTGCCATGAATGTAACGAACGTTGCAGCAGACAAGTTCGGTCACAATATGCACGACGTCCACTAACAGTAACTAAGTATGACATAGACTTTAGTAATTGTTACAGCGGTTGTATATTGTTTCACTCATAATTAGTTGATTTTGTAATTATTTGCGGTTTTTCGCAGCCACCTTCCAAACCAGATGATCGTCCAAAAGGTCGGAAAGGCATTAGACCGCCGTTTTTACCCGTTGGGCATCATCAGTAGTGTGTATGCATCAAATCCATCAGGATTCGAAACGGCGACCACTTGCGGCTTGATCCGCCGGTCAGCCACTTATGCCTATTGTCCATGTTGGACTGAGGCTGAACAATATGCTTTTCAAGCCAACGGCGACATATCGCGCCTTATCCTCTACTGCCATGCAAGTGAGCAACGTTGCTGCGGACAGGTTGGCTGCGAAAGACAAGACGTACACTAACAGTAGCTATGTATGACATAGCATTTAGAAACCGTTAGAGTAGATATCTTTTGATGTACTCATGAGCAGGGGATTCTGATATTATTAATTGAAGTTCCTCATAGCCAGGTTCCAAATCAGATAGTCGCGTATATGCACGGAAAAGCACTAAACTGCAGTTTCAGGCTATTGGGCATCATCAGCAGTGCTTATCCACTGAAGAAATCCGGATTCCATCCGACGACCACCAGCGGCTTGAACCGCTGTCTGCAGTAAACTTCAGACTGCGACTGATCCACCGGTGAACGAACACCTTAAAATAGTACCGCACCGTCTGTGCATAGTTGACAGGTGCGCCATACTGAATCTATCAAGACTGAAGCGAAGTAGCCAACGGTAATCGGTGGTGAAAACATCTCTATCTTGTAGCTTCTACGTAATTTGTCAGCGACAATTCCCTTGCCACTGGAGAACCATGATAGTAAGAAGAATGGCGGTAATCATAATTGAGTTACTTTGAAAACACGAGGTTAACGTCACATGGGCAACGG